GGGATCGCCACGGAGCTACCTGGGAGGAAGAGTTGGACATTCGCGCTCGTTTTCCAATTTTCCAGTTTTGATGTACATATTCTTTATCTTATGTACATAGTTCATGTATTCAGCTATGTTTTGAATTTCCGAGGACGGAAATTTTGTAAGGAGGGAGGATTGTAATATCCCGATATTTAATCGGTATAAATTACGTTTAATTCCGATATAGTAACGTTATTGTTTATTATTTTCAGAATTAATTAAGTTCAGTCGGGATTACCGAAATCTATTTTCGACGTACCGTTTACGTCCGAAATAATTTTGGTAATTAAGTATTATGTTTAATTAAATAATTAAACATATATTGAGTGATTAATTTAATTAATCACAAGGTTAGGGCATGTAGCCGTAAGCATTAGTATATTTTCCCAAGTTAAGTTCAAAAACCGAAAGTTTCCTTAGGTTAAGGGAAAAGAATTGACCAATCAATATTAGCAATTTGTCAAGGTATTAAGGTGCTTAGTCATCAATTTAAGCATGAGATTAAGCCAAGTGTTAGGCTTTGTAAATGGCCACGCCAAGCCACCGTAGCATCCTCCTTCAATCGGGCGTGTATATAGAGCAAGAGTTGATCAAATTTTTCCCCACCCAATTTCAGCTATATTATACCATCTTCTCAGCAGCAAAAAGTCTATAATAATCCCTCAATTTCTTAAACTTCGCACGGCAATTCAAGAAGCTAACGCTCGGAGTGCACGCAAGGAGGAAGCACGCCTTACTTTCGGATTTCGGTCGTGCAATTAGAGAGGTAACCTCCTCCTCCTTTTGTGTTCATGTTAAGTAGGTTATTTCCAGGTTCAGAGTTCGATTAAGTGTCGAGAATTTCAGAATAAATCGTGTCTAAGTCCGATTATGCTTAAGTAAGTTATCACCGAACAAGTTTCGATTCCTTCCGACAACTTTCGAACCATCATCGCTTAAATGTTCAGTTTAGTCTAATTGATGTTCATTATGATCAGTTTTGTCGAAACAAAGTGAAGTTTTGCTGATGTATTGACCCAGCCGACGCCGCGCCTATCGCGTGTGGCCTCGGGTGGCTTCGGGCCGAGGGCTGTCGCCTTCAATTCTAAGCATGTTTGTTCGTGTGATTGGCCCTTAAATAGTTTCAGTATAGTAATCATGTTAAGTGATTCGGTAGTTGTCGGATAAAAAGTCATTTTGGCCGAGAGGCGGCACCAAGCCGTCGGCGGCACACGGGCGTCCGCCACGGCCCTTCTTATGTTCAACATACATCAGCCCATGTTCAGACCTTAAATGATGATTTCAGTTATGTAAAGTTCAG